CCCGATTGGCGGCAAGGATGTGTTTTTGTTTTTTGTACTTCCCGAAAGTTCTTTTTTGGATTTACTCTCGCCTTTTTGGTTTCGTTGGTGCTAATGCTTTTTTCCCCCCTTCCGTTTCTTTGCTGTGTGCGTGTGGGTGTGCGAGTGTGCGTGTTTCCGTTTCTCCCCGCCACTTCACGAGGAGGCCCGCTGCCGCTGCCGCCGCCGCCGCCGCTTCTCCCCCGCAGCTGCTCCCGTAGAGGAGGCGGGAGGCGGGGGGGGGGCGGCGAAAAGGAGGCGATCGTGTGTGGGGGAAGCAACGGCTGAGCGGGAAAAGCAGAGACAGGGATAATAAACCAAAGGGCCAGAAAGAAGGAAAAAAACGCACACACAACTAAATGAAACGAATACGCAGAAAAAGAGCCGCAGTTTCTTCGTTATAGTACCTCCTTTTGGAGAAGCAGGCGAATCTTTTTTTTTTCTTCTAGCTCTGTCCCTATTTTGCTCATTATTTGCATATCTTCTGCCCGGCACTCCCCACACGCACACACAAATACGTGCAAAATTGCTCACCCGCTCAGCAGTGGTGCTGAGGGGCACACCTGACCCCGCGGGCTTCTCTCGCATGCATGTATCCGACCCCTTCTACTTCTCGTGCTCTCAGTGGGTGAACTCTGGCAAAGGTGGGCGATAGAGCGGTGCATCGTTCCAGTGCCATTAGAGGCATAAAAAAAAACTGGCCAGTTTTGGGGCCGCCTATAGAAGTTATCTTGAGACTGCTTTACTAGTTGTGTGGGCGTCGTGTTCGCTTGTATTCCGCATGTTCCCGCGGATCTGTTGCGCAGTGGCCGTGCTGACGGCGATCACCACGGTAGCCACGGCGGGCGAAGCTGCTTTGCAGAGTAGATGTGCCAGCAGGCCCATTTACTACGCGTCGGAGTGTCTTGAGATGGAAGAGTGTGCGTGGTGTTGCGAGAAACCTGTGGGGCGGCAGTGTTTCGACAAGTTGAGCTCAGCCTCCTCGGCGGCGGCATGCGCCGCGTATGCGATTGTAAATAATACCAACACCACATGCGGGGCCCTTTGCGATGTGCCCCACGGCGACTGCGAAAGCTGCGAGGAACGAAACTGGTGCTACTTTTGCATTTCCTCGTCCATGTGTCAGCCGCCGTACGCGTCGTGCGCCAACGGCAAAGTCATCCAGTCTTGCAGCATGCGGGAGAAGAGAGATGGAAATGCCACGTACTATTTCGAGATTGTCGTCAGTGTGGGAGGGGCACTGATGCTGCTCTCGTTCCTTGGCGGCGTGGTGCTGCTGTCCCTGCAGGCGCGTCGGCAGCAAAGGGAGGAGGAGCCCCAGTTGGACGACGAGGGAACACCGTTTCTCCGTGACGCCGGGTCCGCCGAGGACGCCGCAATCGCCCGAAATGATGCGGCGGCTCCGTCGACGCCTGCTGCCGCGGCCGCCGATGCCGCTCCCCCGCCCACAAGCGACACCCCCGCCGCCAATCACAGTGCCGACGAGGACAACACCAACGACAATGCGGGCCTTCGCAACACGACGCCTAGTGGCGCGGGTGGTGATGATGGGGGGCGGTCGGGGCCTGTCGCGGCGGAGGCTGCCGTGGGGTCCCCTGCAGCACACGGAGTTAGGGAGGGCGGGGCCGCAGAGGTGCATCTGCTGACACCCCGCTCAGCCAAGGTGAGCACGACGGATGAGGATTCGGTTTGCTTTCTCTGCCTTGAGTCCAGCCCCTCGGTGACGTTTCTTCCATGCTACCACACCTGCTGCTGTGAGGAATGCAGCAACAAGCTACGCCCCACCCGCGGCGATGTGTTGACGTGCCCGTTTTGTCGAACCAAGATCGAGGCGATGGTGAGCCTGCATAGTGTCCTGGCGCACGCAGGCTTGTAGTGACGCCCCTCGCTTTCCACCGCCACCGCCACGCTGCAGTTGCACACATGCAACGGGGGGAAAAAAAGTGTGGTTATGGTCTTTTCTCGTGCTGCAGTGTCGAACGTTACGCATTGGTTTAGGAAGGGGGGTGTAGTGGATATGTTTTTGCGTGGTGGACAAGAAAAGGGCGAATGCAACTTTGCTTAACTTCACCATAGTTAGCTGTGTGTTTTTTTTTCGCGTTTTCGTTCCCAGTGTGTCAGTTCCCTGAGAGGCGATTGCTGCCCCAATCGTGCTCAAATAGGGGAGTAGGGGGGGGGGGATTATTCCCGCCAATGTCTGTGTTGTGTGTGTTTTTTTACTTTGCCTTGCTGCCGGCTCGTTGGTCAGTTTTCTTTTTTGTTGTTGTTGTTGTTGTTGTTTTTTGTCTTTCTCTTTTCCCCTCCCTCACTTTCATAGTTGCCTCGCTGCGCGTGTGCGGAGGTGTGCGCCACTGTGTGTTGTTCGTCTCTCTCTCTCTCTCTCGCCCCTCTCCCTGTGCGTGCACACACTTCTTTTTTGGCATCTTGGCCCTGCTCTTTTTTTCTCTTTCTCTTTATTTGTTGATGGGGCTTGCGCCAGTCGCGCATGGCCTCAACGCGGTACAAAGTGATCGAAAAGCCGGGCGGCCTCGGCGAAGTTGTGCAGGTGGCCGTGCGGGACGTGGGCGTGAACACCGGGGGAAACACGCCCGCCCTTTTAGTCTCGCCCCTGCGGGCGCCTGCCACGACTGCCGGCGCCGGTGTCCCCTGCCCGGGCGACGCCGCCGCGTGCGCCGCCTGTGCACGCAGGCAGCAGCGCGTGCAGCAGTTGGAGGCGCGGGTGGCGCAGCTGGAGCTGCAGTTGCGCGTCAACAACGTCCTGGGTGCTCTGATGAGTAGTCTGGAGGCGCAGCAGGCGGCCCCCGGAAGACGCGGCGGCGCAGGCCGCTCACGCTCGCCGCGTTCGCGTGGGTCGCCCGGGCAGGAGGCGGGGGCCGCGGCGTCGGATGTGACGGTGCTGAAGATGATGCAGGAGGAGCTCAAGCGGCAGGACCTGATCCACGCCCTGATGGACCTCCTGGAGCGCCCAACGCATGCGGAGCGGATTGAGATCATGAAGCCCGTGTCGAAGACCGCGCTGACGCTCTTGCTTGCCCCTCCCAAGGGTGCGTCCTCCGGCGCCGTGGCAAAGGCGACGATGTAGAGGCGGGCACAGCCGCGGAGGGGACGCGGCGGGAAAAGAAAAAAGAAAAGAAAAAATATATATCAAGCAGAAGGCCGGGAAACCGCGGAACCGGTCGCGCAGCGATTTGATTGGCCGTTCCAACGACTGCGTTCCGCATGGGCTGCCCGACGGGAATTCCTTTTTTTTTTTTTTTCGTTGCTCGGCGGGGTGGCTTCTGTTTCCGTCGCTGCTGCCGGCGTTGATGTTGATGATGGCAATTTTTCCTCCCTCGCACCGCCCTCGCCCTTTTTTCTCGCGCGGCATTTGCTTCTGTGCGCCAGCCTCCGCGCCCGCCGCCCCCTCCCCACGCATTGCGCCTCTTTTGCTCCTCCCTTTCCGCACGTGCCAGAAGAAAAAGAAGAAGAGCGGAGGGGAGAAAAAAAAGTGGTGGGGCGAAGGAAAAGGAAGAGGCGTCTACTGCGATGGCCAACATGATGGCGCGGCTCAGCGGTGGTGTCTTTCCACCGCGGCGCCCCGGGCAGACCGACGGAGACCTCCGCAAGGAACTCAACGAGCGCAAGGCGCCGCGTGACTCGACGATTCTCACCCGCACCGAGCTGGACATCGTGCGCGACATGATTGCCGGGAAGACGGTGATGTCGTCGCCGCTTCAAAGCACCGTGCGCACCCGCACCGCCGCCGCAATGGAGCGCAAGCAGCGCATGCAGGAGTACGACGCCAAACACCGCCTGCACGGCGGCGAGGATAAGACGCTCGACGACATTGAGGAGGAGCAGCAGCAGCGACTTCACCTGGAGCGGGCGAAGAACCTCATCGACGAGCAGTTCGAGGAAGTGCGGGCGATGAACCAAATTGTGATGGAGGCAAAGTGCCTCGCCATCCGCAACGCGCAGCTGATGGAGAAGAAGCGCGGCAAGGAAGCGGAGCGCAAGCAGGAGGAGGAGCTGGATCAGATGATGGTGCTTGAGTCCAAGCGGGCGCAGCGCCTGTACGAGGAGCGGGAGCGGGAGCAGGTGGAGGGCCGCAAGAAGAACCTCGCGGTGATCCGGGCGCAGCTAGAAGAGCGGGAGATCGACCGAATTCGAAAGCTCGAGGCCCACCAGCAGGAGCAGGAGGCGATGACGCGCCACATTGAGCGGCTGCGGGAGGAGGAGGCCGCGGAGAAGCTGCGCAGGCAAGAGGCCGCGCGTCGCCTCATGGAGGACGCCGCGCTTTCCAACGCGGAGCAGATCAAGCTTAAGAAGCGGCAGCAGGAGCTGGAGCTAGAGGAGGAGAGGCAGGTATTGGAGTACATCAAGGCGAAGGAGGAGCGGGAGCGGCGCTTCGCGGAGGAGCAGCAGCGCATCCGCGACGAAAAGGAGCGGGAGGTTGCCAGGCTGCGGGCGCAGCAGCAGCGGGTGCAGGACAAGCAGGCCGAGTTGGATGAAATTCGCGCCAAACGCGCCCAGGAGGCACATGCGCGAGAGACGCGGCGCAAGGAGAAGGAGCGCAAGGAGAACGAGCGGGCCATCCTGCAAGAATTGGCACGCGTCCGCGAGCAGCAGATGGAGGAGCGCAAGCGAATCAAGGCGGAGCAGCACCAGCAGGAGCTGGAGGAGCTGGAGCACATCGTCGCTGTGCAGAAACTTGCGCTTGAGAAGGACCGGGAGCGGAAGGCGCGGGCGCGGCATCTGCACGAGGAGAACTCCCTGGCCGTGCTCAAGCAGATCATGGAGGTGGAGGAGCGCCGTCGCCGCGAACGTCACGAGCACGTGGCGGAGGGCAACAACCTCTTGATGCAGATGCGGGACCGCGAGGCGGCTATCGAGGCCATCCGTCAGCGGAAACTTGCCGAGTTAGAGGAGCTAGGTGTGCCCGAGGAGTACACAAAGGCGCTGACGAAGAAAATCAAGGTGCGGGGCGCTCCGTGACCCACTTTCGCCCTCCTCCACGCCCCGCCGACGCCCCAAGATCAAGGGCAGGCTTTTCCCCCTCCGCTTCTTCACCCCCACGACGAATACTGCCGCTGCTCAGTAGTATTACCGCCAGCAATGAAGACTGTAGAGAGAAACAGTTGTTATTGCATGCGTGCGGGGTGTGTGTTGTTCTGGTTACTTGCTTCCCCCGATGGCCTTTCCCCAGTTCCCGTCACCTTTCTCTCAGCCTTCTCTGGCGAGGGGTGGGCAGGGGAGGCAGAGAGGCAGAGCCATAGAGAGAGAGAGGATGTGTGTGTGTGTGTGTGTGGTTGTGGGAAGGTTTTTTATGTTTGTTGTCTTACGTCTAGAACTGCGGCGGGCGAGATTTATGTATGATAGTGATGGATGTATGCTCTCCCGCACAGTCGGCGTTTTTTTTGTTTGTTTGTTTGTTTGCTTGTCGTACTGGCGTTGCTGCCCGGTTGTTTCGCTTCACCTCTCCGCCCTCTGTCGCGTGTGTGCGTGTGTGTGCCTGCGACGGAGGGCGGAGAGGTGGGCGTTGTGCGGGGGGGCCGCCTCCGACTGCTTGCCGGCGACACGCGCTGCAGCCCCTGTGCGCTCCTCCCCGTCTCTTCCTCCTCGGCAGCGGCAGCGCCGGGTGCCCCGACGGCCTGGGCGGAGGGGAACCGCAAACACACGAGGCTAAGAAAGGGAGGAACGTGAAGAGAAAAAGAAAAACGAATAGCACAGAGGAGGGAAACGAAGGGAGGACCATGGGGAACTGGCTGACGGCGGCGGCGCGGCCGGCGCCGCCGGCACCGCAGCGGCACCTGGTTGGGGGGCCGAAAACATTTTACCTCATCTCCGGTGGGCCAACTATCCGCTACACTGGCCAACCGCCCATCACCGGCCCGCTCATCTTCAACGTTGACACCGATCAGCTGGACGACGGTGAGGCGATTGACCGCGCCGAGACGATTCAGCTGCCAGTGGCCGTTCCGTCACGGCAGTCGTTTCGGCTGACGCAGTTCGACCCGAAGAATAGGGAGTCCGGGTTTCTGCTCTCGTTTTCGATTGCCATGTCGGAGCCGGGGCAGACGCTTCGGGTGCTTGCTGGCGTGGACGTTGACTACCGCGTGGGGGAAGGGGTGCAGCTGATGCAGTCGGAGCGAAGCCAGAACCCGTTTTGTTTGTTTGAGTTCGTCTCACCGGAGGAGTTCCATGAGAAGATTGAGGTTTGCGAGCCTCTGCACATTGAGCGGCTGAAGAAGGCCACTTTTAGATTTGCGGAGAACCGGGTGAGGTGCCTGACGTACGCCCCGATTGCTATTGAGCTTTTGTACGAGGCACCCGCGGAGGAGGTTGCCCTAAACACGCAAAGCTTTGCCGGCGCGGCCAACGCCGTCCCCGTCTCCGCCTCAAGGCGGGAGTTTGGGGCCGGCGGAAACCACGGCGGTGCCAAGGCCGCCGGCGCGAGGTCCCCGCCGACGGTGCGAATAGTGCAGTACACCTTCCTCGACATTCCCGACGGGGCACGGGGGCGTGCCTCGCTGCCACACGGCGAATCGCCAGGTGAGGCGCCGCGGCCGGTCTATGAGGCAAAGATGGTGCGGCAGCTGCTGCAGCACGGCACGCAGGTGTACGAGCTGGACGACGTCTACGACCTTGGCGGCGACTACGACGTTATTGACAGCAACGACGAGGAGGAGGAGTCGGCGGATGTCTGCGTCATTTGCCTGATGAATGCCCGAAACACAACAATCTTGCCGTGTCGCCACATGTGCCTCTGTTACGAGTGCGCCAGCGTGTTGCGATTTCAGCAGAACAACCGCTGCCCTGTTTGCCGCGGCAATATTGAGCGTGTCATGACAATTTGAGTCGTCTTGCGTGAGGCTCTGAAGCAAACGGCAATGCCGATGAAAGTGGGGAGGAAACTCTCATTTGCTCAGAGACACACTTTCGCGCATACATATATACATACATACGTGCATGTATGAATGCCTGAATGTATGCGTGAATGCATCAGGTTTGGTTTTCTTTTTCTTGTGAATATTAAGAAGGAGCTTCGCATCGTTGTTTTGTTTACGCTATTTTGTTGTTTTGGTGGGCTTTGTTCCCGCCCACTGCTTGTTGTTGTTACTCGCCCGCATCGTTTGATACAGCCGCTGCTGCTGCTGCTGTGTTGGTGGTGGTAGTGGTGGTGGTGGTGGTTGTTGTTGTTGTTATTGCCTCTTTTTTTTTTGTTTTCCCCCTTCCCATTTCCTTCTGCTTCCTGCCGTGTGATGAAAGCCGTCTCCTTTCGGCGCATTCCCCCTTCTCTTCTGTTTTGTATCTCCACTCCCGTCGCTGCCTGCCGCCGTGGGGCCGCAAGTTTTCCTCTCTTTCTGTTCCTCTTCTCCTCCTCCCCTTGCAGGAGGTTGCAGTCATGCCGCACGCAGCGACAGCGGCGGCGGCGGCTGGCAAAGACGAGAGCGTTGCAGGAGCACCGGCCGGCGCGAGCTGCCGGTGCGGCAGTGCGGGCAGCAGCAGCGCCGCGGGGGCCGCGCGACCCTCGCGGCGCGCGTTGCACCGGAAGGCCGTGAAGAAGTTTAATGAACGGCGGAAGAAAGAAGCGCAAAAACGTCTGGCGGAGGCGCGCGACGGGGCGCTGCTGAGCCCCTGCGAGGCGAGCCAGGCCCACGCCGGCAGTCGTGGAAGAAGTCCCACCTGCAACCACGACGGGCGTGTGGAGGTGCTGCCCACCGCAGCACTGACTCGTGCGGGCCCCCTGGCAAAGCCGGCGCTGGCACATAAGTGGGAGTTTGACTTTTTCTTCCGAACGATGCCCTCGGAGTTGCTGCAGACGCGTGCGGAATCGATGGAACGGGACGCCGCCTTGTCTCCGCCGTTCTCCTCCTCCTCGGCGTCGCTCTACAGGGCGGAGGAGCAGTCGCTTGTTGTGTTGAAGGAGGACGAGCAGCGCAGTCCGGGCGGGTCGATGCCGCTGAAGGCCCTCATGCAGAGCAGCATCACAAAGAGCATTCATGTGCGGCGGGTGGAGGGGGTCCCGCCGCTTCCCATGACGCGGCCCATGCAGGCTGGCACCGACCTGGATCAGCCCACCTGGAACTACCTGCTGCCGGACACAACGTACAACGTTCACCAGCACGCCCCTGGCTTTGAGCGCGACGAGAACGCGGCGAAGAGGTCGCTGCTGTCCTGCGCCGTGCAGGAATGGCGCGGTGGCGAGGAGAACGTTCTCCTGCTCTCCACAGGGGAGGCGCTGCGGAGTGTGTTTGAGTCCGCCTACTGCCATGAAAAGTCACTCGCGTTAGAAGTGAGGCGGATGGGGCCCACTTTGTTGATTGACTCGCACAGCGCAAGGGATTTTCGCACCAGGGTGCGTGACATGCGTGAGAAGGCACTTCTGGGTAAAGCGCTCTACCGCATCCACAAAGACGTCTTCTCTTCGACGGAAACAAAGGGCGGCAACTACAGTGGGGCGGGCGGTGGGGTTGTGGCGCTGCCGACGCACCGCGTCGGGTCACTCGCGCTGTCAAAGGAGTTACGAACGCTGAGTCGCTACTCCCACATACTCTCGTGGGAGATTGGGCGAATGGATGTGCTGGTGGGCATTGACACCCCCATTTTGCTCGACCGCAGCGACAACACGGAGTCCGTGCTGAAGTTGGAGGACGCCTCTGTTGTGATGACGCCGCAGGAGATCCAGCGCGATGCGCTGCGCTGCTGGTTTGACGCGACGCTGGCAAATGTGCCGCAGGTCGGCATCTACGTCCACAACGACGGCATTATTCAGCGCTACGAGGTGCGCAAGGTGCAGGAGTTGCTTGGAATCGTGGAGGGAAGCATGGCGACGGCGGCCATGAACTTCACGATGAATGTGCTGCAGTGGCTGGTGAAGCAGTGCGGGAAGGACGGCATGACGTACGCGGTCATACGCAACTACGAGTCGGGGCTGCTGGAGATCTACGAGTACTCCCGAGACGAGCGTCTCGAGAAGTTTCTCCCGGAGGATGCCGCGGGAGCCACAGACCCTAAAAACAACGCCGGTTCCCCCAGCGGCGGCAGTCGCAACGAAAAAGAGGAAGAGGAAGCCGGGGTTGGGGCGAACAGCAAGGCGGAAGCAACGGAGGAGGCGCGGCACGCCGAAGAGAACGAGCGGCTGAACTGGGGGCTGGCGACGATGTGCTTTCGAATGGGCATGCATCTCAAGGACTCGGAGGCGAAGGCGCCGGATGCACTGTCGCTTCTGCTGCGCAGCTTTGCCGTGTTTTTCATGCAGCGCGCGAAGATGGATGAGGCGTGCACCCACGTGTGCGAGATCGTCAAGTGCCTCCCTGCGCTCGTCGGCCGCCTGATCAGCAATCGCAAGGCGGCACTTGAGGAGGAGGGCGGCATCATCCAGCTGCCGGAGCTCTACCGAGAAGCCTTGCTGACTTGTGGCCGCTTTGAGGTGCGTCTTGAGGAGGCCGCGTACGACGTGGCGCTCAGCGCCGCCACACGCCGGGCCTTCTTGCGGTGTCTTCTGCCGTGCAGTGCCGCGGTGTGCGTGTGTGTTGCACGCGCGATGGAGCAGTTTGCCGTGGAGCGACGCGTGTACATGCGGCTGCGGGCTGAGAATAATCGCGGCAGCAACGTGCACATCCACAGCCTCATTGCGAAGGATCTCCTGCAGGTCGTCGTGGAGGGCCTCGTGCGGCTGGAGCAGATGAGCCGGGTGCTGAACAGCGACGCCGCCCTGACGCAGGGCCCGCCGCCGGCCGACAACGTGGAGCCGCTGGCGCTGGTGGATACGCGCACGGAGGCAATCAACGTGGCCCCGCTTGAGGCCACCGTGTGGGAGCTCTACACGGACGTTGTGCTGCTTGTCATGGGCGACCGCACCCCGTTCACGGCGGAGGTGCTGCTGGAACTCAGCCGCCGTGTCAAGTCTCGCGAGGAGGCACGTCTTCGTCGCAGCCGCAGTGGCAACAGCGCGCGCACGCAGAGCAACGACAACAACAACAGCGACGGCGGCAGCGGCAACGGCAACGGCAACGGCAACGGCACGGAGGCGCCCATCGCAGGGGCGTCGACGCTTGCGTGGCTCTCGGCGATCACGCCGGACGTGGTCTCGCTCTCCTTCACCGCACTGCGCTTCCTCACGAAGGTGGGCCTCCAGTCCAAGCGGCTGCTGCTAAAGACGGGGCAGGTGTACTACCATGTGGGTCGCCACTACTTCCTCACAGACCGCTACACCAAGGCGCTCGAGTCGCTGCACCGGACGCAGTCGCTCTTCCACGCGATGCAGCAGGCCCCAGCCGGCGCCGTCTTTGGCGACTGCTGCACCTCCTCCGCAACTGTCACGCTCCGCGACGTCCAGCAGGCGCTGGGCGAGGTGTACGTTCGCATGGCACGCCTTAAGTCCCGCCTGGCGCCGGCCGAGATGAAGCTGAGTTTGCAGCAGCCGCTGCTGATGGGGGAGGTGCGGGCGTTGTCGCAGGAGGAGGAGAAATTTTTCCGTCACGCGGTGGACGCCTTCACGAACTGCGAGGCGAAGGAGCAGCTGGCGTCCGTCCTGAGAACGTACGCGGCGCGACAGATCAGCCAAATCGCCTTTAGTGGCCAGCAGGCAGACGCGGCAAAGGGGAGGCACATCTTTTCCATGCTGCGGAAGGCCGGGGAGCTAACTTGCAACAGCGACGAACTCGACTGGGAGGTGCTGCGGCTATTTACCTGCGCGGCACATCACGCGGCGCTGCGGCACCGGGCGGAGCAGATCGTGTCGCACTGGACAACGCGCCTTGGGGCGGCCGAGGGTGGGTCTGCGCACGTGCCGCTGAAGCTCATGGGCAGCGTGCACCCGGTGGAGAGTGCGCTGCAGCTGGCCCTCGTCTCTCTCTCCCAGCTGGAGGCAAGGAAGACGGCGAACACGCACCAAGCAATGCGGCTTGTGCGTGGGTGTGCCGCCCATCTGGTAATTGCAATTCACGACGCCCATGTGGCGGGCAAGTCGCCCGGCGCGCCGCTGCTTCGTGCCATGTCCACCTGGAAGGCGCGCTGCACCCACGAGTGGGTGTGCCGCGTTGCAATGATGATGAGCCTTCGCGCCATGCGGGCAGTGCTGCGGCTGCTTCCAGGCGAGAAGGCGTCGGAGGCGAAGCAGCTGCTTCGACGGCTAGTAGACATGGAGGAGGGCGAGCGCGAGATGCAGACAAAGTCGGAGGTGTGCGCGGGTAAATGCCAGTTTTGGCGCTTCTCCGAGACCCTTGTTGAGGCCTTGGAGGGTGTCGCGAAATGGTGACCATATTCCCTTTCTTGTTGTTGTTGTTTTTCTCCTTCTTCTTATTCGTCTTTGTTTGTTTGTCGCCCGCATTGTGCTTCCTGCTGCGGCGACGCCCCTACGCGCCTCTCTGGCTGCGCCTGTGCTAAGCAGCCTGCGTGGGGCTCGCGGTCCACTGCGACCCCCGCTTTCCCTCGTCCCCCTTCCTCCTCCCTTTCTTTTCTTTTTTCTTTTTTTCCATGCCGGCGGTGTTTGTGTGGGCGCGGTGGTGCATCGTGCGCCGTCGGGGGGGGCGTTGAACGCGTGGGAGGCGGAGGAGAGTTTGGGAGGGGACGACAGACGAGGGAGAGAGGCCAGAAGGCACGAGCGGAAAGCGGGCGCGAGCCTCTTCCTCTCTTTTTTATTATTCTTCGTTTTTCTTTTCTTTTCCCCCTCGCACTCCGTTGGACGGGCGTCGTCGCCCCACACGCTGCCTGCTTCTGCCTCTCCCTGCCGCGTCTTCTCCGCCCCGCCACCAACAGCGTCTACGCACGAACAACTGACACGCGTGCAGGTGTGTGTGTGTGTGCGTGTGTGGCTCTTGCGAGGGGTGTAGCGAAGGCGCGATGCAACGTGTTGGCTGCGGTCTTCTGCGGCCGCGGCAGGGCTGCAGCCGCCCGGCGGTGCTTCACTGCAGCCTGGCGGCCATCTCGACTGGCGTCTTCGACCACCTGCCGTACCAACACCGCCGGCAGCACGCCTTCAACACTCTCCCGTTGCATGACGCCAACCGGTTCGGCGGCCGCACCGCGTACCTGCGGGAGATTGGCCCGGTGAACATAAAGAAGAGCGGGCGGCGCTTCAAGAAGGACCTGCGGACGGTGCAGTTTAACGTGGACGTGTGGTGCGCGCAGCAGACGCTGCGGAAGCGGTGGAAGCAGCGGGACTGGGAGGTGGTGGAGGTGCCGTTCCGGCTGGCGCCCGCGGAGCAGCGGCGCGTCATACCGGAGATGTACACCGACGTGCCGCAGATGACGGACCCCGAGCGTCACGACTTTAGCAACATTCGGAGTAAAGTGTACGACCGCGAGGAGCTGCAGGGCGTGCTCTTTGGGGCCGCCGGGCCGCCGCCGTACCCTCCCCTGCAGCGCATCGACAAGCAGGCCATGACGTTGGAGAAGTTCCTGTAGGCGGAGAGGAGAGAGGGACAAGCGCGAGCATCGCCAGGAAGCAAGACGATGGAAAAAAAAAAGAAAAGAAAGAAGAAAGAAAGCGGGAGAGAGAAAGAAAGAGAGTCGTGTACGCCGTCTATTGTTGTTGTTGTTTTTCTTCCCCCTCCGTGCCTCTCTCTCTCTCTGTGTGTGTGTTTGTGTCTGTCTCTGCCTGCGGGTGTGTGTGGCCTCAGTGCTTCTGCCGCTTTACTTTTCGACTTTGCACAACGTTCTGCCTCGTGGTTGTTTTTTTTTTGTTTTCCCCGTCTGACGTGGCTTTGGCCGCCACGCACGCCAGAAGCACGCGTGGTTCGACGAAGGAAGCAAAGTAGGGAGTTGCTTGTGTATCCAGCTGTGAGCACCGGCCAGCCGAAGTGAAGACTCGCCTGCAGGAACAGCCAACGAAGCAGCGAAGGAGCAAACGAAAAAAAAAAGCAACTGCAAACAACGAAAACAACAACAGCGACAGCAACGAAAAGAAGCGAACGCCTTTACGGAAGGAAAGCTTTTTTTTTTTAAAGGGCGTCTAGTCGTATTGCGATGGACACGACATTTAGCAGTAATGCAGACCGCCTGGAGTACCTGTACCTGAACTTAGTTGGGCAGCTGGTTCAGGTGCGCCTGGTAGATGGCTCGGCTGTGGAGGGCATCTTCGTCTCCCGCACAGACGTCGACGCGGACACGGAGGCAGGTATTCTGCTCTGCTGCACCCGCTGTCTCCCCTCGGCGAAGCACAAGCCGCTGGACCCCTCGTGCCTGCAGTTAGAGGAGGACACAAGCATCCCCTACCGGGACATAGTGATGGTGGAGGCGCAGAACGCAAAGATCCGCACAGAAGTGCCCGGCCGGGCGGACACCACCCGCAGCGACTACGCCATCACAAAGATCGATTGGGCCGATGAGGGCGCCAATGAGCTGCTGGACAGCGAACAGCACCAAACAGGGGCGTGGGATCAATTCGAGGCAAACGAGAAGAACTTTGGGGTGAAGACGTCCTACAAGGAGGAGATCTACACCACCCGGCTGGATCACAGCAAGATCACAGAGGAGCAGCGGGCCCATGCGGATCGTGTGGCGCGTGAAATCGAGGTCTCCGCGACGCGTGGCATTGCCCACCGCATGGAGCGTGAGGAGGTGTTGAAGGATGACGGGGGCATGGACGAGGGCGCACTCCACTCGGATGTGCAGCGTCCGCAGGAGAAGAAGAAGACCTACACGCCCCCCGTTGCCGCCGCACGGAAGGTCATCGGCGAGCTGCAGCCGGCGGCCTCTGCGGCGGCGCCAGTCGCCCCGGCCGCCGCAGCCGCAGTGATGGGGGTAGAGGATAACGCGATGCGTTACAGACGCGGCGAGGAGGAAAAAATCGCAATTCAGCATGACAACCACCCAAGGTCTCCTGGCTTTAACCCGGCGGCGGCGCCGTACACGCCGATGAAGCCCGGAGGCGCTGCCGCGCCTGTGCTTGATTTTATGACGCTATTGGCCGACGCGATAATGAGCAGCGACCAGTGCTACGAGGCCCCCCCCAACTGGCCTGGCACTTGCATGTACTACGACCAGGACGATTCGTCGTACTCGCAGCAGACCTATGAGAGTGCCGCCGTCCCACAGAGCATGGGGGCGGCGGCGCAGCAGATGTACATGGGTCAACAACAGGGTTTGCCAACGCACCATAGAGCCTATCAGGGAGGTGGGGGGCGCATGAATCCGGCCCAGCAGATGCCAATGCATCACGTGCATGCCCAGTCATTTCATCAACAGCACCAGCAGCACCAGCAGCACCAGCATCAGCCCCAGCATCAACATCAGCAACCGCCGCAGCAGCCGTTCCACGGCTACGGCAATTACATGCCGCCGCATCAAAACAACGCAGCCATGCAAGACTACCCGCCCAATAAAGGGGGCCCGCCAGGACCTATGCGCAGCAACATGCGGCAGCCAAAGGGCAGCAGCGCCTCCCGTGTAGAACCGCAGCAGCCGGTTAACGCCAACACTTCCGTTGCCCCGACGCCAGTGCCCACCGTGGATAGCACGCCAAGCCCCGCCGCAGAGGTGAAGCACGCACCGAAGCTGCAACGTGGTCGCGGTGGTGCCGCACCCCAACGCGGCGACGCGGGCGACGGCGCGGGCGAGACGGCGGGCGGTAACGCCGGTGCCGCCACTTCCTCCGCTGGCCCAAAGAAGCGGAGTGGAAAGTAACAAGCGCCACCGTTAAGGGGGAAATATTCTTTTAAAAAAGGAGAAAGAAAGAAGCGGGGTGAGAGGGGTAAGGGGACAAACAAAGGAACGCCAACAACAAAGCAGCAAATACGAAAAAGAAAACGAAAAAAGAAAAAAANANANANANANAANANANANANANANANANANANAGAGAGAGAGAGAGAGAGAGAGAGAGAGAGAGA